TTTTTACTCAAAAATTATTTTGTACTCACCTATTTAGTACCTATTACAAACATACATCAATTTAAGAAACGTTTAATAAAAATAATATGGTTTTTTCGTGTATTTTCGTTAAACGTTTTAATTTTTACAATATAATATATGTGATACATTTCAGCTATTTATTGGTACATTTTTTTAAAATAATTTCAAAGTTCAAAAGGTACAAAAAAATATCGACTCGTAATGCTGCATATATTTTCTGAGTGACCTCGATATAGGGCCCGCGAGGTTATACGAATGTTTGCTCTTATATTCTATTCCGCTGAATGCTGATCTAAACTTCAAAATCAGCATATAAAAATAAACTGTTTGCCCAGTACCTATCCAGATATGTATGGGTATGAGCATTTATGACAAATATTCTGTTTTAAGATATAATATTCAAAGTAGATATCTAGTTTAGGTGTATGATGGCTATATGGTTATTATTGCTGTTTGAAAATAATTAAAAAAAATTAATGAAAATAATGCGTACTTACCTAAATATACGTATTTAACGTAAATTCGTTAAACTTTTATATTTTTGGTTACGTAGCCATAAAGATTCCTTTAGAAAAATGTATTCTCCCTCTTTCATAAACATATACCTACTAAAATAGGATATATTAATACCACGCATAATTTGGGAAATTATGTCATATAAAAGAATAACTAAGTCAGTTATAAATTTAGATTGCTATTAGCATCAGTGATGGCGGCGTATACAAGGAGGTTGTTTTTGGGTTCAATTCCCCCTTTAAAAATTAAAACATRTGTGTGTATAGTAATAATTATTAATGATGATATACTGAATGGTATCCTTGACCCGAAATTTCTACCCCCTCCCCCTCAAATTAAATTTTCTWTAGTTTATGTACTACACTGTTATATTTGTTGGTTTTATATTCCTTTCTAGATATTACGAGTGTAAATTATACATTTTAAGTGAGAATAAATGTCAAAATGTTTGTACCTAATTGAATGGAACTATTTGGCAGGGAAATTATGTGCCGGGGGAAGATTAGTTTCATGGAATAAACCGGAACCCAGAAGAGTTAAAAATTGGTTTTGATTTGACTTATTAGTTATTAATAATAATATACAAACCCATTATAGTTATGAAAATCAGAAAATAAAATTGCATGACAGTAATTATCTAAATATATATTTATACTTAATTTTCTATTATATTAACCTATTAAATAAAAAGTCACATTTTATATCAACTATTGAATTTTGATATTATAAATATGTTTACCTAATTAGTAATTAAAGATGTCACTTAATAACTTTTTTGGTAATGTGCAAAGTACAAGCGTTATATAGCTTGCACAAACAGCTTTCGCGTGCTTTATCAATAAAAGATTTCATTAAGTCATAATAATCATAATAGATGAAATTGCTGTCGTAGATTATGATTTTTATTTAATACATAATAATATTATATTATTGATGATAAAATAAATTTTTGTATTTTTACTATTTATTTCTTTATTCTTATAAAACTTTAACTATATGACTTTAACTTTAACCATATAGTATATTCATACTTTTTTCGGTTATTTAAATTCAAAGCTAAATTCTCTATTGGGTAAATTGAATAATATTATGTTACTTTTAAATTGAAAAAGAAAAAAAGATATGTAGTTAAAGTTAAGTAAATAAAAAAAAATTCAAATCATTACGTTAAGTTAGTAAGTTAGAATTAATTTAACTTTATTTCATTAATTTTTAATTGTCGGTATAAAAATTGTGATTATTTTTTTAAACAATTTAAACTACTTTGAAAATTATTATATCTTATAATCTACATTATATCACTCACCAGATATTGATCGTCCATACAGTCGATGTGGGGTCCTATTATGGTGAAGTACTTCATGCCTTGCGGAGGAGACGCGTACGGTATGTCAAGAGTGACCTGTGGAAAAGACAAGTCTCTGACTAGGTTGAGTAAAAATTAAATGCACACACGTGTGATAAGTGTGACGACTAGGGGTTACTATAAATCTCTCAAAACCCTCTTCTCTTCTAGTCCCTCTAATTCAGCATACTCACAAAAATCAAAACTTYAATAAGATTTACAAATAAGTTTATAGCTGTCTACATGAAAATAGATAACATGTATTTTATATTCTTCTTGCGTATTGCTTGAAATATGTAATATTTGGAGTTTAGAAAATGGTTTAATTTAAATTGCACTGTTAGAAGTACGGCTAGCAAGAATGTACTAACGATTTTGCCATTATTTTCAAACCAGGTGGTTCTTTAGTTATTTTGGACATAATTTAAAAAAAAATGTATAAATGTTTTCGGGRAAAAAATTGTTCATGGGTTCTAGCTGTTAAAACACTAAGATTTAAAAATATATATAATAAATAGTATATTTTTATACTCAAATTTTTTAAAAAGTTTTTACTTTTTTTATTAAAACATACAGTTTTAATTTCATCTTCGAAAATAAAATATTTGCAGAGTATTTTGATTCATAAAAATCAAATTCAAGACGAGTAGACTATGAGTCATAACAGTTGTGTGGTGACAAGATTTGTTTGATGGGAGTAAATAATTCTTATTAATGTATAATTAATATAAATTATTTATAATATACCTAAGTTATAATGTTGAAATAATGAAATACTTATATAGTCTATAGTTTCTAGTTCATATTATATTTGTATTACCTCATAGTGTTCATAYCTTTACAATATCACATACTAACCTACCCACCTACCCATTCTGAATTTTACTAGTGGATGTTACCACGAATAATCTCATTCGCCAAGTTAAGATGAACGGAGTATAATAGTGAATCAACATTTTGTGGCTTAATCGCGTACCACTCTACTTCACTCATTAAAGCTTTAAATAGATACTTATTGTAAACTTCTTTATGTTTTGATCCAAAACAGTTTAAAAATTACATTGTTTTGTGACGACATGAAATCTCATAAAAATTTTTTTTTCAAAAACATTAATATACTTTTTGAAATAATAAGCATCTTTTCGCACACTCTATACATTTTAGGTCTCCTATTTTTTTTTATAATTACTCCCATAAATCACCCGCAAACATCGTTAGTTTCAAATGAAAATAAATGATCAAAATATAGAACTAATTTATAAAACATACGCAGCAATACATACTGAAATAATTTATTGATACAATATACATTTTAGGTCGGTCTAGAATATATATGTGATGCATTAAATATACAGAATTTACATTTCACATGCAATCGGCGTTTACCTTGATGTAGTATCTGACGTATCCGGGTTTGCTCTCGAACGAACAAGGCAGCGAGCTCTGAGGAAGTTGGAACTTGAACGGGAAGTGGTGAATTCCACGCGGCAGAATTGGAGCGGGACCGTCTTGCCGGTCTACTGGAATGCATTTTTTTTTTTAAATTTTCTCAGTGAAGAGTTACTTTTTTACACTCCAATCCTATTTTATTTACGTTCAACGCGAGTGTGGATTATCGTATACATTACATAGTTATAATCGTACACTTATAAACAGAGGTTTGWGTAGAATATTCCGAACTTCAGAATAAGTTATTTCAAATACACTATTCGGAATATTTTAAGAATATTGTTTTCCAAAAGTATCTGAAGTTGTATTCTCAATAATTTTAAAAGTATCAAGAGAGAAAAATATATTTTTTAAATTTAATTTAATTTGTATTGTTATATTGTAAATCATGAACTATTTTAATAGTATTACACATACAAACATTTAAAAAAACTCGCAATCTTGTAAGTACAATTTATTTTAACATTGACTGTAATTTTAAATATCCCCCCTTASACAAGTATAATTTTGGGATATTTACATAGTATTTTAAATAAATTATTCGGAATACTATATTTATAAAGTATTCGAATTCAATTCGTATTCGATATGTTTTGTATAATTATTTGAGGATTTATTTTAAACATGTTTAAAAAGTACTTTACCCAACCTTGATTAGGTATATATTTTATACGTGTATTTACAAACCTTTTCCGAAGATTAACGATCGGTTGTCGATGAAGTACTGGTCGTCTTTTATAGCTGAACGATCACCGCTGACCAACACTTGCCATTCCGCGTGAGCCTTGCCCCTGAGGACGATTCGGACGGCTGTGAATAATAAAAATAATTTTGTTACTAGCTTATAATATTATTACTTTTGAATTTAATAGAAAATACGCTTTAATATACTATATTAAACGGGGTCGTACACTCATACACGTATAATTATACGCTATATCGATACCAATTTGAAAATATTGTCAAAGGGTGGGTCATCTATAATTAACCTAAGATAAGTTGAATTTTGTATTTTTTTTTTTCAGATTTCGCTAGTTATCCCCGTAGTATAACTAAACAGTGATGAACAGGTAGCTTTAACTTGCGTTTTAGTCTTAAAAACTAGTTTGGGAATTACATCACACCTCATCTCGTACAATTGATGTAATGTGATTTTATATAGGTGACATAATTTAATATTTAAATTATTTCTTCTGTACGTAACACATACACTACACAGTACACATAATTTATATAATATATACATGTATTAAATTGTTTGTATACGATACATTTATATATAATGTATTTTATAAACCTACACGCGCAACATAGGTAGGTACGTTTTTATAGCATTCGAAACGAAAAATAGACATATATATTTTTGACCCGAAAACATAATAATATATGTTGTTGTCATTTCTGCGTAGGTATAACAGAAAGCGTTTGCAATATAATATTACGTTATTTACGTCTATAATACACTTACAGAAAACACAAACAATATATGCTATCTGCAGAACACATTTCATTTTTTCCCCGTTCGTTTCAAACGACATCGCCAGATTATTGTATTTTCTATCGTTTATTATTATCGTATCTATGAACTTAAAATTATTATAAAGGMATAAATATTTTCCGTTAAAGCCTAAGAACTTTTATCTCTTGTTCTCAAATGCTTTATATACGATTTTATATTAGGTATTATATTAGTGCGTATGTTTTGAAAATATCTTACAGGTAATGCTACAGGTTTTTAGTTTGGAAAATTAATTTAAATTACATTTTGAATGTTGTCTATCGGCAAAGTTGCCAACCTTGCCTTGAAGTAATACGATTACATACCTAATATAACCAAAAAGTTTAAAAATGTTAGAAATATTTAGGTGTCKTACATACAGGATGAATGTTATTTATATAAAAACTTTTGTGTAAATAAATTCAGTATAATGATTGTGAAGAGATATAAGTGAATCAGATAAAATATTTTCTATACAATAAAGTTATCTGAGTGCAAAAACTTTTGGTATATACCTATGTTTGAAAGACGTGAAAAACTTTTGATGATACATTATTAATTAATAATTTTACCGTTAACAGTATATTATTATAAATCTACTCAAATTGAGATATTGAATTTGTAATACCTTTAAAAAAATACGACGAAAATATTATTCTACAATAATTATTGGTATTTTTTATTTAATCGAGTTTCAACAGCAAAGGTTATTGGCCTTAAACATTAATATATTTTACACAAGAATGAATCATTAACAATAATATATACATAGTAATAATAATAATATGAAAAAAAAAGGATTGAGATATATCTAGGTTAAAATGTAAAATAATTTGAATTATTAGTATTATACACTCGGAAAATGGAAGGTTGTTCTTCGTAAATGATTGGATTTGCTGATTCTTAGTGAAAGAAAATATCGGCTTAACTATTAAGCCATAAGCTAATAATATTATTTATTGTGCTAACCTCACTCCTAAAATAACATACATAATATATATGATAACTTTTCCAGACTGACTGTTTCATCATCTCCTAGCCGGAATTGCTTATGCCATGAGCATGGCATTTTATAATATATAGACTAGCTAAGAAAGGATTTTTCAAAATCTCCGTGGATCTAAAATCCAGTATATATTGATATTCACAGCGGAAATTGATATTTATCTTGTTCATAAATGTTTGCTAATTGCCACAGATTACCACAATAGTATCTAATAGGAGAAATTAGTAGAAATAATAGAAATAATTAGTTTATTTAAAAAAGCCGTAATTTAAAAATTAATTATTTTTATAATTGATTGCCAAAACAGTCAATACTTGTAATATTCCATAATAATTACTATATTAYTTAGTGTTTGGAACTAGCCCGGAATTCTAAAAGAATTCTAATAATAATTATGATATATAATAATATTGTACAGTTTTGAGTCTCAAAGAATACAAGTACGATGAATTATCATTAATATGGATTGAATTATAATGTACCAAACTACCAAATACAAATAATATTTTTATACTTTTAAATCTATTTTTAAATAATAGTTCTTATTAAAGATAATTGTGTAACATACTTAGTTATGACGTTGGATTATTTATTGGTGAAGTTTTCGATTAACGTATGTGTACATTGTACTGATATGAACATCGGCTACAATGCTATAAATTTTAAGTTATTGAAATAGATATCTTTATAATAGGTACATAATAAATTATATACAACACGTATATACTTTGTTATTAAGTAAAATATTTATTTTCTACGCTTAACTTAAGTATAATATGCTTTACTTGTTAATTTAGATTATCCTATATTATATTCTGTATATTGAGATTTGTGATGTACATTTTTATAATAAATTAGCCATTCCTCTGTAAACATACCAATACTATATTAAAATAGTTGATGCGGCGTGGTTGCTTCGATGCTGTAATCAGTCATGCGAACTCATGCTACTCATGCAAAGTGATTGAAAGTACGAACTGCCCGCTATCACTAGTTCCTAGTTCCAAAACGCTACTACCAATAGCTAATGACGATATTTGTTGGGCTCAAAACCAATAAAAATTATTAAATAAATAAATAGTTGATGATGAGTTATATTATTGTAATTAGTAAATTATGAAAAGGTAGGTATAAAAATAAAAAGTTTGTACTGCTACACAAGACGTCAAGACTCAATACATTCGTCCATAGACTGAATAATGAATATTAATTGTAAATGTATAGTCTGTAATAGTTTGTTATAGATTGTTTACAGTTTACAGTCTGAATCTACTTTTCTACTGAAACATTTTAAGTTGAAATTAATATTTTATTAGTTACAATATCTAACTTGGACCTTGGTGAGCTTGGTTAATAAATCATCAATCATTATAAATACATGTAGATTTACTGTTCAGTACTTACGTATAACGATGTACTGTAGTCTGCAGGTAGATATTAATATATTATGTTGTAGGAAATAATATTATCATCGAGCATGTGTCAAACGTTCCTAATAATATTGATTTCATACATTGAACACGAGTATAATAAACATGTATAGTAATTACAATCTTGTGTCAATTAGAAATATTGACATTTTAGACAAACAAAATTAAAAACATTGACCGTCGTAAATTATATTTACATATATAAATGTATAAAAYAGAAAGGAGTAATTTATAATATCGCGTACGATCTACCTACACCTATTATCTATGTATATATACACTAAGAATTCTTAAATAAGTATAAAACGTGATCTGATTTTTCAACTGGTCGGTAATTTCTTCTGTTTCGATAAAATGTCTTTCACGATTTATTTCGTTTTCAGCTGACGTGAGCGCATTAACTTCAGCTCATCCGTTCTATAATGAGCTTATTCGCATAAAGTTTTAAAATGATAAGTACAGAATAGCTTTGTAGCTTTGCTGATGCTAACATTATCCTTATTAATGTAAGTTTATTATTCGTGATCATTTTTTTCTTTTTTAGATCAGTAAAATATTTGAATATACTATAATTTTGAATGATAACATAATATGAGTACGATAATATGTTTCAAAAAGAGTTTAACTTATGTATGTCTAATGATATACTTTATAATATCWAATACCCGTGGTGAGGTATGGCTTGCAAGCATATCAGTCTAAGAGTTGCCATTGAGTTATCGGTAATCGATACTATTGCTTCATTTGATTTTACTGGCAATAACTGATACATAAGTAAATACTATTCTACATTATATTTTATATTATTTAGAACTTCGTTTACGGTGGCACCAAAATAGTATGTGGTAAATAGTTAATATTATACTRCGTAGATAGTCAACAGTTTAGTATTGATTTTATCAAATAAGACCTCCTTAATTGTAATAAATTCCATTGTTTCTTGTATATATGGCTGGGCCCAGGAAATATCAACGTTCTTATAGCCGTTTGAGTTTTAAAGTTAAGACAAAGATAAAAAATTGGGGGAGTCTAAAAGTAGAATCGTACGAGTAAAAAGTGTCATTAAAACTTTGCATTTGTTTGCTAGCAAAGAACGGCAACTTTTGAGTTCGAAATTCAAAGTGGAATGCTATTGGTGTTAGATAAAACGAATAACAAAAAGTCGCATAACGCTCGATAACCTTACATATTATCTTAAGTTCTTAATCTAACTTAAAAACTAGTGCAACCTCTCCTCAACTTCTCTAGATTTAGTTTCGAATTACTAATATAAACGAAATATTGAGTTATAAATAAATGTCACAACACATATTTGTGTTTATAACATTGGCAATCAATTTCACTAATCATTTTAATTTTAATTTTTATATAATATTGATTATTAACTTTAATTTTTTATTTTACACAGGTCACCAGTCGTGGTATGCGTCTTAATATATAGTTGGTGAATTAATGTATTAAGTTTACGGCTCTGGTTCGACGCATAGGTACAATTACAACACATCATCGTACTTAATCTGAGAGATATTTATTTGAATATATTTTACCAATATATCAGTTATACATTTTCTAAAAAAATTGTATGTAACCAGTTATTAGATGTTTAGATACACTTAATCCGTAGGCTGTTTTAATTTTTTATATTTTACAAGTTAATACATTTAATTTATTATAGTACCTATTGGGTTTTCTGTGTTGTACAAAACTAASTTCAATAAAAGCGACTTAACCTGTACATAAATATAGAATACGTGTATTTAAAGTAGGATGTTTCCGTCAGCAGTTCACATATTAAAATATAACACCTTGATTATCAATATTTAATTTAATTTAAGTCATATTTTTTATTAAAATATAACACCTTGATTATCAATATTAAATTTTATTAAATTCATTTTTTTTTTTGAATTCATGATTTAATGATATACGTTATAAAAAAAACTAACGGAAGTAGAAAATTAAAAACTCTTTGAACATATTTTATTTGAAATATAGATAATCTGTACCTATATATATAAAATAACTTGTCATGGGTGATTCTGGATTCATCATCGCCTAGCCAGAACCACTGAAGATATGAGTATGGAATTGTGTCAGTAAGTTGATTTTAAAATGATAAAACCCCCTAAAACAGGATTTTTCAAAATTTGACACCTATAAAGTATAAGGGTTAAAATGGTTATATAATATAAAGAAAAAAAATTGTTCGTTTGATCGGTTTCATCTCTGTAACAATTTAACTGATTTTAAAATTTTTTATCATCAGAAAGTTACACCGCAATCCCACGAATCAATAGGCTATATTATATTTTGATAAGTTGCCCTTAATTTTTTTATTGCAAATTTGAGATTTTTTATAGAAATAATAATAATATTAAATATATTTTTGCGTATAATATGGTTGCTATTGATTATACAATTTATTATGAAAGAACAAGAAATGTGTTATCAGTACTTACTAATTTTAAAAATTGTTTCACCTTTACAAAGCTAAAAATATGATAAAATATACTTTTAGTTCTGTGTTTTAAACGACTGTGTTAAAAATCTTTTATGGAGATTAAGATAGGTAGGGTAAATCCATGGAAATTTGTCACGGGAAGT